TATCACAGATATCACACATATCAAATGAGATTTGTATGGCGCATATGTATCTGGTACCCCCTTGTACCAATATTTAAGTGTTAAAATAAATAAATAAATATTTTAGCTAACATTAGTCTGTTAAGAAAACTTCCTGTTTTTGGATTCATCTGTCAATGTCAAAAAGAAGCACTTATTTGTCTTTTCTTAGTATATATATTGTAAATTCCAATAATGTAGTGTTAATCATAAAGTATTGTATAAGTGGGGTTCTTCTCGGTTCGACGTTCATAGGATGATTCCATATCATCCAATGCATCTTGTACATTCGCCAGACATTTAACAATAGTGTAGTTTAGACAGTTTATAATCTATCTGGTTTAAAAAGTTGGATAAATGCCAGTTATCTCAAAGTGAGATTGTTTTTCTTGGAGAAAAACCAAAGATTATATTAAAAAGAAGCTTGTACAAAGCTACTCTGTTCTTCTTATTCAAACGCGTTTTTCAATTGTGTTATTTACTGTTTAAATAATCTTATTTGTCCAACGTATAATTAATCTGTGTCGGATGTGAGACAGTTATCCATCTTGGACAATTGAGGGTTGCATAAGATCATAGATCAATTGAAGTTAGATAATAACACAGTTGGATGCTGTCTCAGTGGTCTAAAGGTTAAGCATTCACGCGAGACCTAAAATACTGGGTTCAAGTTCCTTATGCCAGATCGTGTATGCATACTGTTAGATTGTCCCATACTAGGACGAAATGGATGTCCCATTTCATCCGGGTTTTCAATAGTGATCTAGCTTAGATTGACTCATCAATTCCTTCCCGTAAATATAGTACCTTGAAATGTACCTTTACATCAATAAATCAATAGAACTTATATATTTTATCAGTTAAAATAAATACACAAAGTAAGCATGAATACTTCTTTCAATATTATCTAGATTCATCCATCTTATTTGAAATGAAAAGTCTCTTTGTTACATAGATTGATATTATTATTATTTTAAAAGAGAAAGCATCAGTTTTCATCATAATTATACAATCGGTATATTCATTGTTTTTATTCATTTATGGGAAACAATAAGTAAACTATCACCTATTTGCATGTGGATAATTAGCTAAGAATCAATTAGTCGAATAATGATGAATTGAATTGATGAGTTGAATAATGATGAACACTAAGTAGTGACCAGCTTGTTTGATAGAATTAGTTCATCTACAAGAGATCAGTCTCAGCTCACTCTATGATAACATCCATAACTAGAAATCATGGTGATACAAGTTCAAATCTGTTAGGGAGCATGATTGATCACATGACTACAGGTTTATAATACTGACGAGTACCAGATAGTATGAAACTTTTGTATACGTTATCATATAGACCATCTTTGAGAAGCATCTTGAGTTACATTAAATTCATTCGTAAACTATACAATTTTTGTGATTTTTACTATTTGAGATGTGTATTATTAAAGTGATCATTTTGTTATTACAAAAGAAGGTACTCGAGTTCGGTTAGTATAAGAACTTTAAACTTAATTAACATTTGGTTTATACTCTGAGAGTACAAAAAATTAGATATGATGAATACAAATACAAAAACGTGAAAATTAAGAAATGATTATCTAGAAAATCAATAAATCTGGGAATTTTCGTAGCTTTTAAATCATGAAACTGGTCTTAGACTACCGTTAAAAATGTGGAAATACTGGAAAGGCTTGTTTTATCCTAGTGTTGGGATATTGAGAAAAATATCCCAAAAATTATCTTGTTAAGTCTTATTCTATCCTTGAACTTATCTGGCTGGGCTAGGCGAAAAGCAGGGCCAATCAGACTCTAGGCTGCTCATACGTATTATACGCGTCCTTGATCCGATTGATAAGTCACTGCTCCATAATCAGCGGTCACAATTAATAAATATTGGCGACGGGGTGGAAAAAATACAGTCCAAATTCAGTCTGTAATTGGACGAAATTCAGTCTAATTATTTCGAGCAATCAGCATCCAGATTTGTCATCAGTGTCCTTCAACGACATTGGTCATTCGTCATACAGTTATTTTCATTGCTGGTGCTGATTAGAAAAAAATGACTTTCCCTTCCGATCGATTACAGCTGCTATTTGAACGAAATTTGGAGTTCTTGGTCAAATTTCGCACGCGGCTGCTGAATCACTCATGCCTTGGAGATGCCACGAAACTGAATGGAGTGATTTCTGAATTGCACACTGAGATGGAAAATGATCACATCCTCCATGAATCCTCGATAAACCGTACTTCAAACGAAACAGCAGTCATTCATGATGCGCCTAGTGATCCAGAAATGTCCATTTCAGAGACATGTCCTGTCGTGGGTTCAAATCCCATTGTCCCCGAAACACTATGTACAAACGCTGGATTGTCCAGCTCACAGAAAGACGATTTCTTATTAAACGCTCATGAAATAATTGCATTATCCGCCCAAAAAGAAACAGAAAATGAATCAAGCATCATAATGAAGATAGTTGCACCAAACGTAGCTCATCATTCTACGATAGAAAATCTTGACGAATCTAATTATCGAGATTCCCTTGTTTTGCCAGAAAATATGTCATCTGCATCAAATAATAATCAAGAACCTGGTGCAGTTTTGTTGAACGCTGATTATCATAGTGATCCACTATCTACTAGTGATGTTCCCCATAAATTTGGTCCTAATATTTCAGAAGATTCAAACTTCAATCACCTCATATCAATTGTTGTTCAGCCTCACTACCCAGACACTTTCATTTGATTCTCTGTTCAATGCGACAAATATATTTTAAATACGGTCAAATTAATTGTAAATTGGGTATATGAGGACTCAACATTATTTCGCGGAGGAGGATGAACTCGGAAAATTTAAAATCCAGATATCAACTCCGGATCTTCAAAAAGAAGGGAGGTGTTGGGATATTCAGAAAAATATTCCAAAAATTAACTTGTTAAGTCCAATGCTATCCTTGAACTTATCTGGCTGGGCTAGGCGGAAAGCAGTGCCAATCAGACTCTAAGCTGCTCATACGTATTATACGCGTCCTTGATCCGATTGATAAGTCACTGCTCCATAATCAGAGGTCACAGCTTATAACAACTTGTATGAAACTTCTTACCAGCATCCATTGAACTCAGAATCTTCGGTTTCATGCTCAAATTTTTAATCCCTAAACTACCGAACAGTTATACAACAGTGATTCCAATTATCTTGCAATATAATGAAAGAAAGAATAAAAGATGATCTTAACTAAACAATTTCATATTTTATTCTACTTAATAGTACTGATCTCTATCAAACATTTCTGACCTGACTTATATATGTCGACAATGAAAATGTTATAAGTTCATCTTTGCCATTATGAATAGGGTTGTAATGAAATAATTTTATTATTATGCAGTCTTATTACTGCTCACAACCTATTGTTATTTCTGTTCTAATTATGTGGTCATTTAGCATTTTCGGTACGATTATGTAATCCTTTGTTTATTTATGCATTTAATCTTCTTCATACTATTACTATTATTATTATTACTATTATCACTAGTAGTAGCATACTGAACGAAAACACCAATGAGGACAAATAAACGTATTTGAAGAGGAAATTACAGAATATCTTGATAAAATCTGAGAACCATAAAGTAAGTAATTCATTTGCAAAATATTTATTGACTGTCTCACACTTCAATAATCTTTCATTTTGATATCAATCACTTACTGTTCTCATTCTTTTCTCTTTAATATTCTCAACCTTCCGCCTCTGAGAATTCCCTTCTCGATTAGTGGTACATACTACTTATATATTTCGACATTAGTAGCTCACAGCACAGTAGTAGTAGCATTAGTAGTAACTATAGTCTTACCATCACTACTATATATGACTATCTTTGCAATACATAAACACTTGCAAATTTTAACTATACTTAATACTATATATTACTACCTGTTCTTCTTATAACTAATTATTGTTCCCTTCCGAACATATCTCGGATGTTTTTTATTTCTAAAAATCCTATATCACATAGTTTTAGACCGTTTGTCAGTCAGTCAGCTTCAAGGTAGGACCAGGCACATATGTGCATCAGTCCAAGTTATCACACCTCATTGCCACAACGAGATGAACACCGGATTCATAGGAGTAGTTAAGTTAATGGTGGCAATATTTAAAGGAAAGATTGCATGTAAGGAATTAGTACAAGAAGAAAGAATCAATTGGTAGAAAGAAAGATTTCATAGTTTATGGGAAGATAGAGTGTATGCACCTACGCCATTGTAATCGATTCTGAGCCATGTCACCCAGAGTCTCCAACCATTGGTTACGATAGTCACGCGGACCCCCAACCAAGTAGTCTGCATCTCCCAACATGGCTCAGACTAGAAGTTAGTGACTTCAATTACTGATGCTACGTTTTGGTTTGGCCACTCCTAACTTTCTTCCAACCATCTCCAAACACTAGTTAGCATTTTGCATCGTTGTAATCGGTGATCAAGCATACATTTGTACGTAATAAAAATCCTCGAAATGGAATAAATCAATTTCCTTTGTCTTGTCTTACTTTGTCTTAATATACTTCAGATTATAAGAATGAAATAACAATTTTATTATTTATTGAATTGTTCAATTTGATCATTCAATATTCAATAATTTATTAAATCAATTTTATAAACAGATACAATTCATTGACAATGATATACATTCAATAGACCGAGCTATTTGTAATAATAATAATAATAATAATGTTAATAATAATAATAATAGTAATCATAGTAATAGTAATAATAATGTAAAGATCAACATGAAAGAAAAGAATTTACCGAGTTATGTATTCGGCCTATATAATTCGCCCAATGAGTCTATAAGTGTTTTTTTCTTCTTCTTCTAATTTTATTTATTTATTGATTGTCTAGACTACTTATTCAATATTATTTTTAAATAAACAATTAACTACTATATAAACCCGTTAAATAATTTGATTCACATACCATTCATCAGTTAATTGTAATGGTAGATTTATGGATCAAGGTACGAATTTTTATGATTATTATTATTATTATATACTTCAATTATTTATAAAATCTCAACGGATGTATCTGAAGTACATTTAACATTTTGCCTGATCATCTAATCCAAGCTGTTTTTCAAGTTTAAATTCATTCATTGAGATTGTAACGATACATTCTTCTTCTTCTTCTTCTTCTTCTTCTTCTTCTTCTTCTTCTTCTACTACTACTACTACTACTACTACTACTACTACTACTACTACTACTACTACTACTACTACTACTACTACTACTACTACTACTACTACTACTACTACTACTACTACTACTACTACTACTACTACTACTACTACTACTACTACTTCTACTACTACTACTACTACTACTACTTCTACTACTACTACTTCTTCCTATCCTTCTTCTTCTTCTTCTTCTTCTTCTACTGATAGTTCTTCTTCTATTACTACTACTACTACTACTACTACTGCTTCTTCTTGTTCTATTTCTTGTTTAATGTTTCACATTAAATTGCCGCCTAAATGCTTTGAAACTATTCGATTACATTTTAAACGAAAGTTCTTATTTATTATAATGCAATCGTATTATATAATTTATTTATTTATTTTTAGTTATTAATTACAACATTATGTTTACAAATCATCCCTTGTAAATTTGAGATTAATGTTCAAGTGGAGAGTGAGTTTTCTCTATTTTTTTTCTTTCTTTTGGTTTTTCTTTTTCTTTTTTTAGAAAAAAAAACGGATAAAAAATTCAATGTTATTAAATTGATGATTAATAATTGAGTTTGTGTGTGTGTGTGTGGAAATTCACTAATAAATGAATAAGTTTAGTTACTAGGAAGTTATTATATATTACGAATGTAAACATGAATGAACATGTTTACTAAAAGAAATATATAAATAGTCAATCTAGTTTTAATTAAAATTAATAGACTACTACTACCACTACTACTACTACTATTACTTATTATTATTATTATTATTATTATTATTATTATTATTATTATTATTATTATTATTATTATTGCTATTAGTGGCTTTATTCACTATTACATTTTGGATACAATATAGAATTCTTAGTACAGAGTATTTCAACAAATTTGTCATTTCTTTATTTCTTAATCGATTCTGACGATAAATATTGAGTAATTGGTAATTAGATGTTAACAGTTCAGGAATTGATATTTAAATAGTGTACATTGTTTTTTTTGCTGTATATTACCAGCAACTAATCACGATATTTTTGATTGGACTCTTTTGTAACTTATAAAGCATATGGTCGTATGCTTTTCATTAGGATACCTCAATAGGTTATGTGATTTATAAACATAATGATGTGATAAAACAAAATAAAATTAGATTCCAACTCAATGGTTAAGCAACTGATAGGTCCTAGGTTCGGATTTCGTGGCAGGCAGGATCGTGTATGTGCAGTGCTGAAGAGTCCTACAATAGGACAAAACGGCTTTCCAGTGTTTAAAGGTTTGCCATGATAGTCTAGCTCCAATTGACTCATGATTTCAACTATTGAAATTACTAAAATCTACACAAAACCCCTTCTGATACATTCTTTTACTCATTGTGATTTTTGATCAACATTACTTCTATTGTAATTCATTGTGATAATTGCTCAATTTAATATTTGTTTTGTTTTCTAGTGTGATATTTTATTCTGTATAACATTTATTTATTTGAGTGTGCTGTCTGTTTAAGATACGACATTCTTGTATTGAATTGGCATGAACTATGCTCAGCATGATGTGTAGCATGTGTTCTTACTCGCATTGTAGGAATTGCAGTAGTTCATCGTTGTTCAAAGTATAAGAATAAGCGATGGGTTCTGAGTTCGAATCCCGCGAGCTGGATCTTGGATGCGTACTTTCACCAGCATTTTTCATCCAACTCTATCTTGGGCATTCGAGGATTGTAAACATGGACTATACATTCTGTTCATAGTAGTGACCTAAATTATTATATAATGAGTTTTTTTTTAATTATCTTTTCGTTATTCTGTTTATTAAACTGTATGCAGTGAATCTAAAAACTTTAATGTTTATTTTAACTAATCATCGTATAATTTAAGAATTTTTATTTATTTTTAAAGATAATACAACAGCATTATCCAATATATCATCAAATGTAACAGCGATTGCCAATCCAATAAAATCACTTTCACTCCATCTATGTCCATCTGCAAGAGCAGCTAACAATTCTGGAATTAATTCAAGTAAGTTTAACTGTTTTTGTTTAAAATTCCATTCTATAGCTGAATAATGAAGTGAATTGAACGAAGTGAATTTCATTGTTGTTGTTGATAATTTAATTAAATTAAGCTTTACAGTAGTATTTATATTTAATTTTACATGCTAAAATAGTAGTCTATGGTAAAATAAAGTGGTGTCGGATAATTTTCTTAAGGATTCTTAAAGAATTAAAGAAGTTTAAATTCACTTGGTATTGTTTAATTGAATCTTCAGTAGCTGAGTGGATAACTCAATGGTGTTTGAAGTGAACGGTAACTGGGTTCGAGTCCTAGAGTGAACATCAACTCTGAGATGTAAGTACATCCAGCTGACGAGCCCTAAATAGGTTGAAAAGCGCACCCTGGATTCCACTGCTAGCCACTATCCATCTTTGATTATATTGATTATAGAAGTTAGTTAAAAGTTCAATCTTCGAACACCTGGTTAATTCGATTTATTCAGCTTCATCAGAAGCCTCCTTTAAAATCATGCATAAAGTCGGAATATTCGGCTCAAAAGGAATGCAAATGAAAAACTTATATACAGCAGAGGCTATTACTATCCATCGCGTCTAGAAACAGTATGTTTAATTTCTGATTCTTCCATTGTCTTAAACTTTCTACCTTCCATAACCTGTGGATTTTCTAAATTTTTGTTTCTAACCCTTTTCACTTATTTTCACAACTAGTAATGAGCTATTATTAGGACTTTTAAGTATTCTGTTCTTAACAGCTATCACAGCCGATCATTACATAACTTCCTTTCGATATCTAAGTTTTAAATACTGACACTATACAATTCAAGTTGTTTTGAATTATTCAACACCATTCTATTTTACTATAGACTAAAATTTTTAGCTTAAATGGATGAGATCGCTGAGATGGAAGTTTTCTTCGCTGAATTGTTCTTCGTTCTGCTTCAATAAAATGATGGGTTTCTTTATTTAAAAATTTAATTAATTTCTGTGGAATATTGATTACAGCAACAAATGGTCTAGGATATGTTCAATTCCTCATAGTATACTTTATTTAGTAAACTTATTAACAGAAATCAAGTTAACAAAAGTAGAGTAAGATCACTAGTGGTTCATAAAACAAGAGTTACTTACGCCTGTTACTCCTCATGAAGGAGCATAAGCTGCCTACTAGAATTCTACATTCCTTTCTAGTTCTTTCCACTTGCTATTCATCTTTTTCATGTTTACTTCCAATTACCGACGTAATGTGTTCTTCAATCTTCCAATTTTCCGTTTACCTTCAGGATTCCATGTTAGGGCTTGCCTCATGATTTAGTTTGGTGATTTCCATATTGTATGTCCCATCCACTTCCAATGTCTTTTCCTAATTTCCTCTTCAAATGGGAGCTGGTTTATCCTCTTCCACAGTAAGGTGTTGCTGCTGGTATCCGGCGAAAAAATATTGAGTATCTTGTATAGACAATTGTTTATAAATTTCTTAAGATCACAAATCTTAATATCCATTTATTCGTTACTCTCATTCTGTCCTTTCATACCATGTACTCAATATTCAGTCTTCTTTATTCTCAGTCCTATATCATTATTCTGATCCTTTTACTATTTATCTTCTTAATTTCATTTTGTCGTGCTAATGTAGTTTGACAGGTTGAACTGACGTATCAGGTTTTATGTTGTTTATGACTAACTGAGAGACAACTCTATACAATTTAGGCATAAATTAGGAGAAAAAAGATTGAATAACATACTAAATTAAATCAAACTCTTATAATCTACCTGTACAATAATTCTTAGATAGTTGATACTAATCAACATCTGCTCACTAGTGACTGGTTTCAAGAGGTATATCCTGGAGTTCTAGTGAGAAGCAGTGAACAGTGGAGTTCAACCGGGTCAGTTGTGAGATAATAATTCACTGATGACAATGGCGGATGTGTCGCTCAATTTCATGGATTAGTTGCATTTAGACACTAACACCGTTGGATGCCGGCCAGCTCAATGGTCCAGAGGTTAATCACTAGCATATGAAACTGGTAGGTCCTGTGTTCAAATCCTGCTAGGCGAGGTTGTGAATGCGCACTGTTGAGGAGTTCTATACTAGAACGAAACGGCCGTTCAGTTCTTCCAGGTTTTCCATGGTAGTCTGGCTTCAATTGACTCATGATCTCAACTATTGAAATTACTAAAATCTCCACAGAACCCCTTCTGATACTAATTCTTAGACAATTTGAGATTGAATTCATTTAACTATAATCAATCTATTCACATTGACAACAGTTAAATAACTAATTAATTAATCATTTAGAATATTCAGTTTTTCTGTTAAAACAGAGTGTTTTTAAAATCAATGAAATTGATTTTCAGAGAACATCTTAAGAAGAATCTGAGATAAATTACATTTATTGATTTTACAGTCAACCCTTATTTTTTTCTTGAGGATAAACTAAAAAATACGGTAAAATTCACTTGGTATTGTTTGTACTTGAATCTTCACATTGATGTTTTAGGACTGAAATTGATCAGTCTCTTATTGGCATATGTGCATACTGTGATTATGCCTCGATATTGCCTTAATTTACAAGCATTATAAGCAAAGATGGATAGTGGCTAGCATTGAAATCCAGGACGCGCGTTTCGTCCTGTTTGGGACTCGTCAGCTGGACGTACCTGCATCTCAGAGTTGATTTTCATTCTGAGACTAGAACTCAGTACCGTTCGCTTCAAACGCCATCGCCTTATCTACTTAGCTACCGAGTCCTGATAGCCACTTGTTTGTGCAATGGGGTGAAGTTTAATTCGGTAAAATGTTTAACTTATCACCATTATTTTTTATCTTCTCAACAGTTTCTACCAATAAATTGATTCCATTTAACTTATAATTCATTTAAACATACTAAGATCTATTATTATTATTATTATTATTATTATTATTATTTCAGCTGGACTTCAAAACAATAGTGAAATTACTCATGATATTCCTATTGCACAATTAATTCCACCAAGTCATGAATTAAAGTCTATATCTATTAATTTCGATGCAAAATGCCTATCCAAATTAAATCCATGTAAGTAGTATCTATATATTTTCATTATCAGTAGTATATATAACAACTTTTATTACAAATCAATAATTTAAATAATAATAATAACAATCCATAATTGATTACATTATTAAAGCAAATTAGTTTCCTCTTCTTTTTCTTTTTTTAAAAAAATATTTTTTCGAAATAATTTTGAAAAATAAAAGACAATTGGTAAACAATCAATAATTTTTATTGATTTTATTCTAATAAGTAGGAAACTGTATTGTTTTTAAAAAAAAATAATTAAAATATGAAACATCAGGGAAAAAATACACTTTTTCTACTGATTGGGTGACAACAAAAGGTATAATAATTATCACTAATGCCATTATTACTAATACTACTACTATTATTATCATCACTAGTGCCATTACTATTATTAATACCACTACTACTATTACTACTACTACTGCTGCTGGTACTACTACTACTACTATCACTACTACTACTACTACTACTACTACTACTACTACTACTACTACTACTACTACTACTACTACTACTACTACTACTACTACTACTACTATCACTACTACTACTACTACTACTATTACTACTACTACTACTACTACTATTACTACTACTGCTACTACTACTGTAGTGAACGAGAACACGGGTGGGGACAAACGGATGTATTTAGCATAAAAATTACAGACTATCTCAATACAATCTGAATACCATAAAGTCAATCGTCAATTTGCAAAATATCAATGCATTATATCAAACTGAACTGTTTCCGTTGCAAACAGTAATCCATTGTCTCCCATTCCATTGTACATGCGTTTTCTTAAAAATTTCATTGTGTTCTCGTTCTATCTTTCATGATCTTCGCCATCTTCTGCTGCCGAACATTACGTTCTTTTAACGCACGTTATATACTACTTATACCAATATAATTAGCACACACCACACTACTACTACTACTACTATTATTATTATTATTATTATTATTATTATTATTATTATTAATACTACTACTACTACTACTATTATTATTGTTATTATTATCATTACTATTATTATTACTACTACTATTGTTACTATCATTACCACTATTATTACTACTACCACTAATATTACCCTTATTATTATTTTTACTACTATTATTGCTATTATTATTATTACTATCATTATTATTAACTTTCTAATCAATGCTCAATTTATTTGAAACTATCAGGTTTGTTCCTAATTCTTTTTTAAAACATTTCCCTACGATGTAAAGTTTTTAATAAAATTAGTGAATAATATTGATACATGTTATTTAGTGAATAAGTAATTTATATACTGTATACTAACTGAAATTAAAATTACATAACTTAGCAAGTTTTTCACACAATGTTCCTCATTAAAAAATGAGTGTGTAAGGAGTAAGGTGGTGGGATTGAACTATCCTATGTGAGAAATATCAGTGGCTTAATAGTTAAATCAAATAGTAGTAGATTGCAAGCTTGCATCTTACTTCATATATTTGATTTTGACTATCGAGGTAGTTGTATCACTAGGCTCCCGAATGCCCTGCTTCAAATACTTTTGTACATTTATGCGATTATAACTTCTGAAAAAAAAACCTACTCAATGCCTTCATGTGAAAAGGGTGTTTTTGACGAACTTGAAAAGATGTAAAGCAAACTTAAGCTCTTAAATAAGGTTGAGCGATATAAATGATCAATCTATGAAGTTATAAAACTCCAATTTTAAACCAATCTTGTACATTTGGCTCCAAGACTCTGTTGGAATGAATGACGTATGAACCTATCTTTATAACCAGCTACCATGAGACAATATTTCTTGTTGTTTCTTCACTGCTTTATTAAGTAGGTATTTAAGTCAAAATTTTGGGGAGTAGCTTCCTAAAGAATGTTTTTTAAATAAAAAGATAATTCGTAAACAATAAACACATGTAACCTTAGCATTGATACCTACAACTTTGTCGATACTTTTCAGTTTTTTTAAATTCTATTTTCAATTTATTAAACTTCATATAGTTTCCCATGTAAACCTAATCAATGTTAGTTTATTTTCTATATGAAATACTTAATAATAAATTGTCAACAATCATACCATTTCATAAACTCCATGTTATTACAATCTTTTCATAGGAATACAAAAATTAAATTTCAATTTAATAAACGAATTAATGAGTTATTTAAAGTTAGATCATCATGTAGAACCTGAAAGCATTAATATAACTGTTTTGTCCTTGTATAAAACTATCTCATCAATGTTCATCCACATATAAAGGTTATGCAATACTTTTAAATTTCCCATAATGATCTAATTTTAATGAATTCATGAATTCAATTATTAAATTACTATATTATCTACAAAGACTCCTTCTTTTTATTTTGTTCAGAATTGAAATTTGTCTAATGAATGAATGTTTTAATATCATTGTAAATAACTGAATTATTAATCTATATAGAATAATTTATTCATTAAATTTTAATTGTCAATTCAAATATAATCATTATTATAAGGGATCTATTATAATCTCTTTATATAATTATAACAGATTGCCTTGTTAATATGCAATATGATGATTTGCTTTAATATTATTAGTAGTATTATTAGTGATATCACAAAACTATAATTTATGGACGAATCAATCATGTATAGGATAATAGATCTCAGATTTTAGCACGTAATTCAATCATCAATATCATTTTGACATTATACCTAATGTCAGTACGTGATAAAAAAAACTGTAAATTTAATTCTTAACTTTAACCATCAATTGTAAATCATAATTCTAATCCTTTATACAGGTTTATAACCCTCATTTGATTCTAGTTATTAAGTAGACACTCACAAGATCAATCTAGTATCGTTCAAAGGTTATTCATAAATGATAGTCTCATCAAATTATCATTGAAATGAATAAAATGATCCAAGACTAAAACAATTTCACAATAAACATAACCTGAACACATAGAACTAAACAACGTTTTGATAGTCTAAGAAGAAACTCAAAAAAAAAAGCGTTTAAAAATAAGTTAATTGGAAAATTGGAAAACAAACAAACAAACAACAACGACAACAACAACAACAAAAATAGAATATCGGAAACTATAATAAAAAAAAACACCAGAAAAGTGTCATATAATAACTTTTTAACATTGTTGTTGTTATTGTTCTTTTTAATCATAGTGCTAATTGGAAAGACTGAAACAGAGAAAATAAGTAGAATAGAAATGACGGATAAACAAAGAGAAAATACACAAACGGAACAAATACTAAAGACAACACCATGGGACAATTTGAATGGAAAGAAATACACTGAAAAAAATGGTAAGTAAGCATGTTTTTTTTTGTAAAGAAAAAGCACACATACGCACACAAATAATTAATTCATAAAAAAAGATCAAAAAGAAAAGGCAATTAAAAAAAAGAATAAAACAACAACAAAAAAAAACATAAAAACTCATTTACACAAAAACTAGATAACATTTGGCGCTCACGAGCGAGACGGATAGGTACTGGATTCGAATCTTGTGGCAAGTGGGATCGTGAATGCGCACTGCTAAGGAGTCCCACAATAGGAAGAAACGGCTGCCCAGTGCATACAGATTTTTCATGGTGGTCTAGATTCAATTGACTCATGATTTTAATTATTGAAACTACTACAATCTCCAGAAAACCCCTTCTGATAACATTAAAATACTTAAAATAAGTGAATAGAATAACGTTGAAAGGCAACGCAAAAAAAACACCGAGAAATTACTAAATGCAAAAATAAAACAATTTTAAGAAGAGAAGGCGTAGGAAAAAGAACAGGAAATGGAGAAAAGATAACATAAAGACTGATTGGGTCAGTGAATGGAAGACACTAGAGTGCAAACGCAATGACGGAAGCATCGAATGATCCCTGTTAAATCACTGACAATCGCTGAAAGACAAGATAAAAAAAGAGATATGTAGAGGAATGAATATAGAGATACAGCAAGGCGAATAGATAGTAAAAAGATATAAATGGAGAGAAGACGTGGCAAGGTATTCGAGAGAGATAAGCAACAAATGTAAAGAAAGAAAAAAAGAAAAGAAAGGAGACGAAGATACAGAAAATAAGAAAAGAATAAAATTTATAAAAGCAGGCCAATCAATGACAATTTCGATTGTATATTATAGGCAAAACAATAACAGACGCAAAAGACGAGTTGGTGAATGTGACAGATAAGCAAGGAAGAATATTGGGCAAACAAATAAAACCAAAAATAAAATCAGTAACAAATGGACCACTGGGTAAGTCAGAGTGATTTGACTGTGTGTATTGTCGCAGTGATGGATTATTGATGTGAATGTGTAGTGCATGTCAGTAACGGTTGGTGTTGAATTTGTGTCTGTCCTTGTGTGTGTGTGTGTTTGTGTGTTTGTATTGACGTTGTTCATTGTTGTTGATTGTGCCTGATCGAGTGAATGATACATGAGTAAGAATATGTGTGAGATGATTAGTAGAATAACGTGTGTTTCTATGTGATTGACACAGTGTCACTCAATGTAATTAAAATAGGTGGGAAATCGAGTGAATGAGTGAATGAGTGAGTGAGTGAGTGAGTAATCGTGTGTGTGAGTGTATGATATATTGATTGATTGTTTGATTGATTGATTGATTGATAATTGAGTGAATGATGGAGTGTGTGATTGATTGAATGAATGCGTGATTGATTGAGTGAGTGGGTGATAGTGAAGAATGTAGGAAGGAATGTGAAGTGTTGTTTGTGATGTAGATTTGTGTGTGTTTTGAGTTGTGCATATGTCTGGAGAGTGTTTGTGTGTAGGAGATTGAGAGACGGTGATGGAGACAGTGTGTTTGTATTGACGTGTGCACGAACATGATTTTGAGCTGAGTGTTCTCGTTGTGTGTTGTAGGCGAATCGACGACACCTGGAGAAGAGGAGTTGGTGAACGTGACGGACAAACATGGAAGTGTGATCGCTCAACACCGACAGAGAAGGATTCGACGAACCACTCTCGGACCACTGGGTAAGTCAGAATGATTTGACTGTGTGTATTGTCGCAGTGATGCATTATTGATATGAATGTGTAGTGCATGTCAGTAACGGTTGGTGTTGAATTTGTGTCTGTCCTTGTGTGTGTGTGTGTTTGTGTGTTTGTATTGACGTTGTTCATTGTTGTTGATTGTGCCTGATCGAGTGAATGATACATGAGTAAGAATATGTGTGAGATGATTAGTAGAATAACGTGTGTTTCTATGTGATTGACACAGTGTCACTCAATGTAATTAAAATAGGTGGGAAATCGAGTGAATGAGTGAATGAGTGAGTGAGTGAGTAATCGTGTGTGTGAGTGTATGATATATTGATTGATTGTTTGATTGATTGATTGATTGATAATTGAGTGAATGATGGAGTGTGTGATTGATTGAATGAATGCGTGATTGATTGAGTGAGTGGGTGATAGTGAAGAATGTAGGAAGGAATGTGAAGTGTTGTTTGTGATGTAGATTTGTGTGTGTTTTGAGTTGTGCATATGTCTGGAGAGTGTTTGTGTGTAGGAGATTGAGAGACGGTGATGGAGACAGTGTGTTTGTGTTGACGTGTGCACGAACATGTTGGTGAACTGAGTGTTCTCGTTGTGTGTTGTAGGCGAATCGACGACACCTGGAGAAGAGGAGTTGGTGAACGTGACGGACAAACATGGAAGTGTGATCGCTCAACACCGACAGAGAAGGATTCGACGAACCACTCTCGGACCACTGGGTAAGTCAGAGTGATTTGACTGTGTGTATTGTCGCAGTGATGGATTATTGATGTGAATGTGTAGTGCATGTCGGTAACGGTTGGTGTTGAATTTGTGTCTGTCCTTGTGTGTGTGTGTTTGTGTGTGTGTGTTCACGTTGTTGATTGTTGTTTGATTGTGCCTGATCGAGTGATTGATACATGAGTAAGAATATGTGTGAGATGATTAGTAGAATAACGTGTGTTTCTATGTGATTGACACAGTGTCACTCAATGTAATTAAAATAGGTGGGAAATCGAGTGAATGAGTGAATGAGTGAGTGAGTGAGTGAGTAATCGTGTGTGTGAGTGTATGATATATTGATTGTTTGATTGATTGATAATTGAGTGAATGATGGAGTGTGTGATTGATTGAATGAATGCGTGATTGATTGAGTGAGTGGGTGATAGTGAAGAATGTAGGAAGGAATGTGAAGTGTTGTTTGTGATGTAGATTTGTGTGTGTTTTGAGTTGTGCATATGTCTGGAGAGTGTTTGTGTGTAGGAGATTGAGAGACGGTGATGGAGACAGTGTGTTTGTATTGACGTGTGCACGAACATGTTGGTGAACTGAGTGTTCTCGTTGTGTGTTGTAGGCGAATCGACGACACCTGGAGAAGAGGAGTTGGTGAACGTGACGGACAAACATGGAAGTGTGATCGCTCAACACCGACAGAGAAGGATTCGACGAACCACTCTCGGACCACTGGGTAAGTCAGAATGATTTGACTGTGTGTATTGTCGCAGTGATGCATTATTGATATGAATGTGTAGTGCATGTCAGTAACGGTTGGTGTTGAATTTGTGTCTGTCCTTGTGTGTGTGTGTGTTTGTGTGTTTGTATTGACGTTGTTCATTGTTGTTGATTGTGCCTGATCGAGTGAATGATACATGAGTAAGAATATGTGTGAGATGATTAGTAGAATAACGTGTGTTTCTATGTGATTGACACAGTGTCACTCAATGTAATTAAAATAGGTGGGAAATCGAGTGAATGAGTGAATGAGTGAGTGAGTGAGTGAGTAATCGTGTGTGTGAGTGTATGATATATTGATTGATTGTTTGATTGATTGATTGATTGATTGATAATTGAGTGAATGATGGAGTGTGTGATTGATTGAATGAATGCGTGATTGATTGAGTGAGTGGGTGATAGTGAAGAATGTAGGAAGGAATGTGAAGTGTTGTTTGTGATGTAGATTTGTGTGTGTTTTGAGTTGTGCATATGTCTGGAGAGTGTTTGTGTGTAGGAGATTGAGAGACGGTGATGGAGACAGTGTGTTTGTATTGACGTGTGCACGAACATGTTGGTGAACTGAGTGTTCTCGTTGTGTGTTGTAGGCGAATCGACGACACCTGGAGAAGAGGAGTTGGTGAACGTGACGGACAAACATGGAAGTGTGATCGCTCAACACCGACAGAGAAGGATTCGACGAACCACTCTCGGACCACTGGGTAAGTCAGAGTGATTTGACTGTGTGTATTGTCGCAGTGATGGATTATTGATGTGAATGTGTAGTGCATGTCGGTGAGGGTTGGTGTTGAATTTGTGTCTGTCCTTGTGTGTGTGTGTGTGTGTGTGTGCGTGTTCACGTTGTTGATTGTTGTTTGATTGTGCCTGATCGAGTGATTGATGCATGAGTAAGAATATGTGTGAGATGATTAGTAGAATAACGTGTGTTTCTATGTGATTGACACAGTGTCACTCAATGTAATTAAAATAGGTGGGAAATCGAGTGAATGAGTGAATGAGTGAGTGAGTGAGTGAGTAATCGTGTGTGTGAGTGTATGATATATTGATTGATTGTTTGATTGATTGATTGATTGATAATTGAGTGAATGATGGAGTGTGTGATTGATTGAATGAATGCGTGATTGATTGAGTGAGTGGGTGATAGTGAAGAATGTAGGAAGGAATGTGAAGTGTTGTTTGTGATGTAGGTTTGTGTGTGATATGAGTTGTGCATAAATGTGCAGAGTGTTTTATGTGTAGGCGAGTGAGAGATAGTGATGGAGAGAGTGTGGTGATGTTGACGTGTGCACGAACATGTTGGTGAACTGAGTGTTCTCGTTGTGTGTTGTAGGCGAATCGACGAT